ATATATATATATATATATATATATATATATATATATATATATATATATATATATATATATATAATGTTTTGGTGAATATGTATCAACACATTTTTCTTTCAAATATTACTATATTTTTTAATTGATTCAAGCTGCCGTTTAAAAAAGAATTCTAATTTATCGTGTGATATTATAAGGGTACGAATAGAAGAAACCAATATAGCTATTTTTAAAAGTATTTTATAATAAATATTGATTAACATCTTTTTTATTTCAAAAATATTTTTTTCATCAATTTATTAAATATCAAACAAACACCTAGAATATCCGGGTTTGGTATCATTTTGGATAATTACGTGATTTTTCTATGAGTACAGTAAATAATATCAATATATTAATTTTCTATTTGTTAATATTCTTATATTCTTATAAATATAAATAAGAGTTTAAAAATATAAATTACAAAAGATAAGGCCTTTTTTTGAACCTTTCAATCAAGTTAAGGGGCCAAACTTAAATATTATTAAATTTAAAAATAAACATTTTGTCAAATCAACATACTTCACCTAGATCATTAAATGATTAATTGATGCTGGTCCAAAATTTTGCATTTTTTTTTTTATTTCAATACACGATTTGTTTAATACTACAGATAGGAGGACCATAGTTATTACTAGTTTTGTTTTATTTGAGTCGAATATAATTAACTTTCTGTATTTCAAAAAAATAAAGTAATTTGTTAATCGGACAAAATGCTGCTTATTTTATTTTATTAAAATCTAATATATTTTAATAAAATATAAGTTATTTAGTTTTGTTAATTTATAATCTTAGGTAAGAAATGTTTATTTTATTAAAATCTAACTTATATTTCTCATAAAACATTTTAAAATTATAATTTGTAGATTTAATATGTTTTTATCTGCTTTGATTTCTTAATATCATTAATAAAATTTTCCTTAATCATAATTAAATAATAGATAAAATATAATTAACTCCATACATTTTGTGTGTTCGTGTTTTATTTTATGGAAGGAATCTCACGATGATTTATGTTAGCGCTCGGTGTGTGGTTGGGATCTTATCACTTAACAACCTTTATAAAGGTTGATTTAAGTGTTTAGGACAACCAAATAAAGACAAGGAGATGCTTCTTGCTTATACAAAACAATAGCATGTGAAATCCATTAATTATTATTATTATTTTTTTAATTTTATATCTTGATTTTGACATTACCTTAATCCTAAGAGTAGAAATATGGATAAAAACAAAAGATCAAATGATATTTGATTTCTTGTTTAATTAATATATGAGACTAATCGACGGAGCAATCCAATAATAAATTGTACTTTGTATTGAAAGTTATACATAAGGGTATTTGGGATATTAGCTTTTTAAAAAAAATAATTAGCTACAAAAATGTTTGGTTAGGACTAACAATTTAAGAAAAAAAAAACATTTTTTTTTAAATATCAGAATACCTAACTTTTCAAAAAACCCAATAAAAATTTACAAAAGTAGTGCCAAACACCCCATAGTAATTTATAACGTATAAGGCCCATGATCTTGGATGGTTAGATCTTGTCCAATAATTCATTATTGCATGTACGGGATGCAATAAAAGGTTATACATTCACGTGGACTTGATTATTTTCTATGTGGAAATCTCAAGAAACGGCTACAAACACATATGAAATCATACAACTTGTATCTTGACATGGGTTTCGTGAAAATCTGAGAATCTCAACAAAATAATGAAAATTGTTCACTTGAATGGAACAAGGTAACGATACAAATAAACTTGTATAATATGCATATATACTTCGACCTTCACATAGGTTTCGTTATTATAGCTCTAATTACCACTGAATAGTTTTTGTGAAACACCTCTTCTTTTGGTTTAATTAGTTTAAATCTTTTTAAAAATCTTTAATTAATGCTAACAAATATGGTCTTATAATCATTGTTCACAAAAAAATAGACAATTTAAAAGAACTTTAAGAGAGGTTATCAATCACAACATCAAAACATAGTTTAAGTAATCACACAACAACATGATTTTCTAAAAGTCCAAGCTTCCATCAGAGTATTTTGTCGCTATTATCACATGAACATATATCAAGATATAAACTAGACATTACGAATATCTAGTGAGTAATATTAGAATTTCATATTTTGGAATTCGAGGAATTGGTACAGTCATTTGATCATTTGACTCATATAAGTAGGAACATTTAGTGAAAACTCTTAAATAGTTATTCTCGAGGAATGTCATAATCATGACTCTCAACTTTTATCAAAGGTATTACAAATAATTTGGGGATTTCTCATTGAAAACTCTTAAATAGTGAGAAATCCCCAAATTATTTGTAATACCTTTGATAAAAGTTGAGAGTTTAACCATATATGGTTAGAAAGTGTTTAACTCATTGAAAGCTCTTAAATAGTTATGCTCGAGGAAAGTCATAATCATTGTTCATCATTTAGTGAAAATAAAAATATTGAAATATTAGTCATCAAAACAGTAGATGCAATGCAATATGCTATAACCTATTCTTAAATCAATCTCATATGTCCAACCTAACAAATCAATGAGTCAAAGCAAGAAGTGCCTCACATCATCATCGTGTGAGAGTATCCAAGTAAAGGCATCCTTACCTCCTAACATTTTCAAGAATGCTAAACTCAAAGCTAGGATATGTGCCCACTCATATATCCACATACACGGTACCTAGCCTTGCATACAAGTGAGGCGGTGTTTAAAGTATGATAACTAAGTTAATTTGAAACTTTTGGTTATACAACATCAATATAGTCAACTACCACAAACTTTTAGATCGAACAAACTCAAGTGATTCTCATCCTAGCATGAATAGTCATGTAATCTACAAAACGACATCTTAGAAAATATAATTTCATGAGTGTACACATTGATATATATATATATATATATATATATATATATATATATATATATATATATATATATATATATATANCATAGAAAGCAAGTTGGCAAAATATTTAATCGTACATCATTTCATAAAATCATCATTTTTTTGTTGTAGGGACATGTATTCATTAGTTA